AGCTTGCCCTTCGCTCCCTAGTGTGTGGCTGGTTAGGGCTGGCGACCCTCCTGAGAGTCTCTAAGTCTTGCTCGACTCACAGACTGATTTAGAATCTTGGACTGCAAGAGCATGTTGCCAGCCTCTTGCCCTCCTGGCTCTTACCTGTATCTCAAGGCTAGTCTCCCTGGACCCCCGGCCAGGCTGCGCTGCTCCCCTCTGCCTCAGCACTCACCACATCAAATGGCAATGATGGCTTTATGCTTGTGCGTCCCCTGGAGCCTGGGAGCATCCTGGCTCAAACACGGGGCCTGGTGCATGCTGGGTAAACGGAACCTCCCACAGCGGGGTGCTCACCGACATCGTGGATGAACTGCTCGATCTTGGCCTGCATGCCCCAGTAGCGGAACTCGACCTTGCACAGCTTATAGGCGCACATGAGAGGCCCCGTCTGGGCCGCCGTGCGTGCCCAGTCATCAGCCAGCGGTCCTCGGCCCGTCTTAACTGAGCGGTACAGCCGGGGGTCCTCTTCTGCTTTGTACTCGCCCGGGGCCACTGCATCTCGCACTATGTCGATGGTGTCTGAGGGGGTTCCAGCAGCACTGAGCACCACCAGCCCCCTCTAGCCCCTGCCACCCCTTCCCTGCCTCGGGACCTGGAGGGCAGCCTTTTGAAGACAGGAAGCCAAGGCCTGGAGAGAGCCTGGGACTTGTCAGAGGCTGCCCACTGAGGCGTCAGGTAGCCTGAGAGGGTCTCCAGGGTCCCCCCACTGGTTCCAGGCCTCACCCAGGATGCGCTGTCTCCTCTCAGCCCCACTCAGGTTAAAGACATTCGGCTGCTGCCCCCCATCAGGCAGGTAATAGGTCTCTATTTCAATGGAGAATTTCTCCACAAAGGGGCAGGTGTACCTGGGCAGAGAAGAAGGGCGAGGGTCACTCCTGTGCCCACCGGGGCTCTTCCCCTCGTGGCCCCAGGCCCAACCCACCCACTCACCGGGTTCGGGTATAAGGATAAGCGTTCCAGGATTCCTCTTCCACCTGCAGGGCAGCCTTGGGCAGCAGCGCCCGGAACCAGCCTGGGATGTGGGAGCCCACGTGGTACACCTTATGTGTGTATTGCCCGCTGCCGCCAGGCCCATCTGTGTAGGGCCGGTTGGCCAGGATCTCCACGCCGCTGCCCTCACCACTTGACTCCTCCCGGCTCTTTTTCTGTAGTCCAGGCAGAGCAGAGTGCGTGGCTCAGCCCCACCTCAGCTCCTGGGGTCCCCAGCTTGGCTTGGCCCCCTGCACAGCTCTGGGGCCCTCGTCCTAGCCTTTCCAACTCCTTGAAACCTGACCCTGGCCCCCTGCAGCTCCTGGGATCAGAATCACAGCCGCTGGCCAGTCCCCCACAGGGTCGAGGATCTGCTTGATTCCAGGCACTGTTTGGGATTATATTAATTAGGATCTGCTGGTGAACAGAACAAAGAGCCTGTCCTTGTGGAACTTAACGTTCCAACGGAGAGAGGGACACGCAGGAAAAAGCAAATTACGTGGTGTGTTAGAAGGTGAGAAGCACTATGGGAAAAGAAAGCATAGAACAGAGCAGGGGGATCGAGTTGGGGACTGTGACTTCCACAGACAGTTGGAGAAGGCCTCACGGAAGATACCACGACTGTGAGGAAGATACCACGACTGTGATTCGAACATGACTTGAAGGAGGGGAGGGAGGCTGCTGAGTGGACGTGGGGCGTGGGGGGGTATGTAAGGCAGAGGGGAGGTCCATGCAAGCTCCTGAGGCGAGAGCATGCCGCCCGGGCTCCAAGGGCAGCAAGGAGCCCAGGGTGGGTGGGCTGGAAGAACAGAGGCAAAACCTCTCTGAGGACCTCGCCCTAGGCCCCTCCCTCTGTGGGACCCCAGACCAGCTCCCGCCACACGCTCTCACGGTTTGTGAGTATTCGCATCCTACCCTTTTATAGTGCTGGAGCCCAAACTTGGTCCACCCAGCCCGTGAGGCTGGATCCTGGCCCTCTCGCCTCTGCAGACTCTGACTGTGTACTTCTGGGGAACGCATGTGGAACAGGCCTCCCTGACAGGTTGCCCCGGCCCGTTTTCTTCACAGCCCAAGCCCATACCCTCAACCCCGTCCTCTTAGCCCGGACCCCCTCCCTTATCCTCCGGGGTCCCTGCCGGCCTCTCTGTTTCAGTTTTGGTGCCTGGTCCTCATCCCATCTCCCTGACTTGGGCTTGTCAGGATTCTGCACCCTCTGGGGACCCCCTCCCAGGCTTCTCTACCACCTAGGACCCCTCTTCACTCCCCGCCTCTCGCTCTTGCCTCC